AACCTATCAATCCAGAGTGGGTAGCATAAATGGTTTCTAATGCAAAGTATGAAGTAGCTTGTAAGAGTTTAAAAATGCTTTAAACAGTTGTGATTTTCTTTCATTATTTTAAAAGTGTGTCTGAAAACCTACTCATTGTATTGCCCTAAATTTAAAAAATGTTTAAACCAACAGATGGATTAGTATTGTAAGAACCCCGTGGACTAATTGCAGTGTTTCCTTTTCACTGAAATCAAAAGAATCTTATGCGGTGATGCATGTCACCTCCATCTAACTTAGCAAGAAATCTATGTGAAATAATTAAATATCTGCACACAGTGTATTTGATTATCATTCCATTTATTACCAGAATGTTCTGCATGGATTGAAGCACTGTTGCTGAAGCAGGACTGAGAGTAAATAATTCAGTAAGTTGTCCAACAAGAAGAAATCTTTAAAAATATAGTGGTTGATAAGTGTTCGGCACTTATTAATTTAGAACTAAAAAAAAAGAAAGGGTTTACTACGGGAAATGCATAGAACAAGTAAAAGGTAGCAGACCCCGAATTTAAGGAAACTGTCCAGAAATCAAAAGTACCATATTTTTCGGAGTATAAGATGCACCTTTTTCCCTCTTAAAAGAGGGTAAAAATTTGGGTGCATCTTATACACTGAATGTAGCTCCACCCAGTCTCTAAAACGGAGATTTCAGAAGCTGAAAAAAGCCTCTTAAAGGGAGGTTTCAGAGGCTAAAAATAAAGCCTCCGAAACGTAAGTTTCAGAAGCTGAAAAAAAGCCTCTTAAAGGGAGGTTTCAGAGGCCGAAAAAAAAGCAAGGCACAGAGCTTACAACCAACGAACCTGTTGCTAATGTTCACCTCTGGGAACAGCTGGTTGGGGGTATTCTGGGAGGCCATCCACCCGCAAATCAGTTTTTTTCCTATTTTCCTCCCCAAAAACTAACGTGCGTCTTATACTCTGATATGTCTTATAGTCCGAAAAATACGGTAGTCAGAAAAAAAATCCTCCAAAGACAAAAACAATTATATATTTCCATTACACTGAACTAAAGTCCCCTCCCTATATGCCCCTGGGGCTCTTCCCCTGTGATTCAATAACAACTTTTTTAGGGAGCCATTTTCCTTCTGCTAGTCCTTAAGGAAAGCTCTCACTTGTACTCAATTGGATTCACTCTATTTTTTTTTAATTTATTGAATGTTATGCTGCCTGACTTCCCAACTGCTCTTTGTGTCTCGTGACAACTAAAACAAGGAGAAACAATAAAACCAATTACAAAGATAAAAGATGATGAGAACAACAGACCAGATGGGAATGAAACAAGAGGATGCTCCTCCTCTTCACCAAAGGTGTAGATATAATGTGAAGTGTGAGAATAACCTTGAAGAACAAGAGGAAGAGCTGCAACCAAGGCAACAGTCATATAAAAGAAATTGGAGAAATGTAATTAGAGGAAACATCTCAGATGGGACCCTCCCTAGTTCTTATAAAGCTAAAAGGAGGGAGGGGCAACACATTCAGACTTGAAAAATTCTATTAATGCAACTTTATAATAAAATTAGCTTCCAATTTATAGCTGTGGTTACCTAGTCTGGTCCACCTTCAAGAGCTGACACTAGCTGAAGAGCAATGCTTATCAGTCTTTTTAGCTGGGGGGAGGGCAGTGGTGGGATTCAAAAAATTTACTATCGGTTCTGTGGGCGTGGCTTGGTGGCGTGGCTTGGTGGGTGTGGCAGGGGAAGGATACTGTAAAATCTCTGTTCCCTCCCCACTCCAGGGAAAGGTTATGCAAAATCCCCATTTCCTCCTAATCAGCTGGGACTTAGGAGGCAGAGAATAGAGGGGAAGGGGCCAGTCAGAGGTGGTATTTACTGGTTCTCCGAACTACTCAAAATTTCCACTACCAGTTCTCCAGAACTGGTCAGAACCTGCTGAAACCCACCTCTGAGGGAGGGTAATCTAAATCTTGGAGGAGGGGGATATCTAGATTTTAAACCAACACAATATACATTCACACTTTAAACCCAAAAATACACTAAGAGAGAACCTTGTCCACCCCAAGGATAAAACACAAACTGGGCAATAGGATATGCAGTGCAATGGAGTGAGACATGTACAGATCTGTACATTGGAAAAACAAAACAACCACTTCACAAACACATGGCATACCATAGGAGAACAAACCCATCAGGACAAGATTCAGCAGTCCATCTGAATTTAAAAGATAAAGGTCACTATGTTGAGGACAGCAAATCCACGTTCTGGACAGAGAGGACAGCTGGTTTGATTGAAGGGTCAAAGAGTCCATTTATGTTAAGAGCGAACAGCCCTCTGTCATTCTTAGGGGAGCAATACAATATCACCTATTTCCTGTTTACAGCACAATCCTTTCAGCAGTTCCAGGGAGTTCCACACCTATTTGCACTATTCAGGTGATCCTGAGGGCACAGATAAACCTCCAAGTGGCTTCAATGACTCTCAGAAGGAGCACTAATTACCAGATGACTATGGCATAGGAATATGAAGGAATATTAATCCTTCAATCCTCCACCAGTCAGTCTGAACTGAAGAAGTTTTTGGATGAGAAATAAAATGTCTTCAAGGAAAAACAAAATCCTGTTGCCTTTTGAAAAAGCACATTGTGAGGGAACCATATTCCAGAGGGCAGGTGCTGCAAAAGGGAAGAAACATTTTTGGGCTCCTGATAGATTGCATTGTTTAACTGAAGGAACTCTGAGCACATCAACCCTGAGCACATCAAGCCTGGGAAGTTACTTTGGGAGAAGATGTGCAATATTCCCTATATGTGGGCAAGGGGAATATTATGCAAATATCAATATTTTCATAAAGATTTAATGCATTTTGTTCATCAGGGGGATACTTATGACAAATCTTGTTCATCTTTATCATTACTGAATATGAAAAGTTGAAATTGTTTATTTATATTTCCAGTATTCATACTGCAGTACAATCTGGTTAAACTGTGTCTCTGGGGTGAACTTTTTTTTAAATTTTTTTTTATTTATTTAAAACAATACATCAAAAAAAAGAAATGGGTGAACTTTTGATACATTCCTTTGGCTTATTTTTTTTTTTCAAGGCAAGTCACCAATACAACTTCTTATCCTGCTTTTTAAGCCCAACACTGGACAGGATCACAAGAAGTTTGACACAGGACAAAAGGAACATGCAGGATGTGTTAAAAAAACACACCAAAAATTAGATGGTCAGAAACTTTTATCATAGTTTACACCAAATAGAAGCATCACAGTTTATTGGATTTTGAAATCCTCAGAATAAAATAAGATTATTATTTTTTACTTCTTGTATTTGTCTCTTTATAATCTTTCCAGGAATCTCAACCTGAAGAATAACTTTTCCAAACAGTAATTACTTCCTGATTGCCTTCCCTAGTGATACCTTTCAAAGTCTACAAATTACCAAATGTGATCATAAAAGCACATATAACTTCATATCCATTATAAGGAAATAATTTCAAAATATTATGGGCCTTCCCTTCCGTTATTTCGTTGTCTTATTTGGGAGAATTAACAATTTTGGTTATTTTCCGAAAGATGAATAAGGGAAAAATACTTCAGGAGCTTTTATAAATAATCCTCCTCCTCCCCCCACCCCATGCATACCCACACATATCACACACCAGAGGTGGGTTTCAGCAGGTTCTGACAAATTCTGGAGAACCGGTAGCGGAAATTTTGAGTAGTTTGGAGAACCGGTAAATACCACCTCTGACTGGCCCCACCCCCATCTATTCTCTGCTTCCTGAGTCCCAGCTGATTGGGGATTTTGCAGTAACCTTCCCCTGGAGTGGGGTGGGAATGGAGATTTTACAGTATACTTCCCCTGCCACACCCACCAAGCCATGCCATGCCCACCATGCCAAGCTCACAGAACCGGTAGTAAAAAAAGTTTGAATCCCACCACTGTCACACACCCACACCCACACACTGATAGCTTCAGATAACACCTCAGTTCCTTCATTCCTTTTGAAATGTTTTTTGTCCAGATTTAGTATATAAGTAATCCTTGATTTACAACTACAATTAGGACTTGGTACGAACATTAAATGAGACGTCACGTGACGGGACCCTAGTTTCCAATCATTTTCAGTAAGATCATTAAGTGAAACAACATGATTAAGCAAATCCAGCTTCCCCAATTGAAGCTGCTTGTTGGAAACTGGCTGGTAAGGTCACAAATAATGATCAGGTGATCATATGTTTCTGAAAATATTCGTAAATGTGAGTTAGTAGCCAAGCAGCCTAACTGAGATCACTTGACTGCCAGGATGGTGCAAAGACAAGTTGCTAATCACTCTCTCCGAAACTACTTCAACTTTGAACCATTGTTAAATGAATGGTTGTAAGTTGACAATTCTGACATCTCCTAAAATTCAGATTTTAGATGAATAGGACAATATTATGCAGAGTGCCTTGGTTCGAAGCCTGAAAACCACATGAATAAGGCTGAAAGCAAACAACAATAGTTCTAAAACCACTCAATTAGTTGCTGTCCATTTGCTCCTGAACCTATGATGTTAGGTCTTTCCTTCAGTCCACAGTAACGGCTAAAGACCAAAACATCAGATTAACATTTGAAATCACATTAGGCAAATAATTTATCACTGAAAAGGATGTAGACTACCGAACTCAATAAACCAGAGCAGTGGTGAAATTCAATTTTTTTTTACTACCGGTTTTGTGGGTGTGGCTTGGTGGGCGTGGCAAGGGAAGGATACTGCAAAATCTCCATTCCCATCCCACTCTGGGGCCAGCCAGAGGTGATATTTGCCGGTTTTCCAAACTTCTCAAAATTTCCACTACCGGTTCTCCAGAACCTGTCAGAACCTGCTGAATTTCACCCCTGAACCAGAAGCACATACACTTTGAAAATAGAATATAAAATCATTTTGTTGCTGTTATTAATGTATATATTATTTATGGTGGCATAAGAAATAGTCTCATAATTTACATACATACTCACCATTCCGACTTTCTTCATCAATTGGAACTATTGTTGCTGGAGGTCCTGCCCTGGCCAACTTGCAGTCTATAAATATAAAACTAAGAATTATTCTACAGGCCATAAATTTTGGCATACAAGATAAAATTTGTTGGTAATCATTTTAACAAGTACGGTGAATATAGTTGTAAAACAATCTGTGTTTGATGCTATCAACTTCCAGAATGTTAAGCCAGATTTTACATGACTCTTAATTATAAGGTTTTCTTTAGAAAACTTTATCCAGGAATATCTTTTTCTTTAAATCCAATGTACATTGTTTTACTAAGATTTGCTTCTTAAATTTCATATGTTTGGATCATATCCACAAACACAATGCCTTTACCATAACACAACACAATAAACATCATTGTTTTGTTTTTAATCATGTCTTGTGCTAAACAGAAACTACTGTGGAACAGAGGGTTTTTCTAGACAGATGATGTGGTGGTAATTTAAACCACAATAAAAACAGAAAAAAAAATGATTACAGAAATAAATCATAATTAAAGCTTCACAGGAAAAAGACACATAATTGAAATTTAATTGCAGCCCAAGTCTCTAATTAGACTGAGTAGAATTTCAACAAAGTTTTAAACAGAGCCACAGTGAAAAACAGACAAACAATTTTCAGGAAGTTTCACAGTTGGCCTTCTTACCCTCATACTGCCAGTCTGCAAGGAAGTTAAGAGTCATCAGTGGAAGCAAAGCAGAATAATGAAAGAAAATAAGTAAAATTTTGTTATGGTTTATTGACATTAAAAAAAAACATATATGAAGCAGTAAAAATAGAGAACTGAGGTAAAAGTGTAACAGTACAAACCAATTGTACCAATAGGGAAGATTTTATTACATTACACTAGTAGTAATTGGAGTATCCTCAAATGGAAAGGGGGGAAAAGTTACCTTTAACTAAAATAGGTTTAAAATAAACCACCAGTTGCCTTTAAAAATATCTGAAAACAGAAGAAAACAAACTGACATCTAACAACAGAAAGAAAAATTAAGTCAACAATGCTTTGAGGAAATGAAATAGAAATTGCTCATTAAAATATCAAGAGAATTTACCAACATCTTTCAAGTTAATGAAGGATACAAAACATAATTAGTCAGGTTTCTCCAAAGTGACTTAATCATAAATATTACTTCATGAACTGAGCCTAATAACTGTATTTCAATATGCAAAATGGGGTTAATTTTCAAAGACAGAATGGTTTCAAATTAAAAGTTTTGTTGAGCTGTTTTAGAGAGTTTTCATGCTTTGAAAACAATCTGGAATTATCAAGTTAAGAGTAAGGGTTTATGTTGATGAGGGAAAGTTTTTCTGGGTTGCAATTTTTTAAAAAACATCCTTTATTATCCCTGGGGATACCCAACTCTCTGAACTAATTTTAGACACACAAAAATACTCAGTTTCATAACTGAAAAGGCATTTGATAGTGATTTCATATTGCATTATAATGTTGAATAAAACCTATCTTCATTAATGATTTATTGCTATAATGATGTATATTATGAACTGTAGGAAACTTGATACTGAATCTCCAGAATTATTCCTACATTTATCCATTCACTGTACTTGAACCAATTCCGTTCAGCCTTTAATGCCTGCATATATTTTGTTTACATGCAGAAGGTTTTATTTTCATCCCTTGCAGGATTCTTGTTTACAAAATAAGTTTCAAGAAATATTATTGCAGCCTTTATTCCAATGGATAAACCTGGACTGCCTAAATTCCATACAAGATATATTTAAAGTTCAAAAGAACCTTGGGCTTTTGAATTAAATTTTACAAGTCAGTGACCATTGAAATATATACCTGTATATTGCTTGTGTTGAAAAGATATAAAGCTATCACTTTCTACAGCTGTAATATTTTTATGGAAAACTTTCATACTTTCTTTTTTCTCCATCATTCATGTTTTAAATTAAAAATATTTCTTGCATATATCCCATCTGTTCTTTAACGATAGTGTTTAGATGGCTGTTTTATTGCAGCCTTGCTCTCATTGCCAAAAGTAAATTGATCAGGAATAACCATAGTGATCTTCATGGACGAGTGGGATATAGCTATTATATGCCTACAAGTCTTAAATGGATATCAGAAGTCTTTATATAGCTATGAGTCATGTCAACTTTATTATTTATGTATATTTGTATTACTAGAAACTAGAGAGCCAGTTTGGTGCAGTGATTAAGGCATCAGGATAGAAACTGGGATAGAAACTAGTTCCATCTTAGGCACAAAGCCAGCTGGGTGACCTTGGGCCAGTCACTTTCTCTCAGTCCTAGGAAGAAGCAATGGCAAACCATTTCTGAAAAACATTGTTCCAGACAGTTTCCGCGAATCAGACATGATTGAACAGGAGAAAAATGAATGTTTCTATTGCACTGCAATCCTGGTGGTTCACAGAAGTTACAATAGCAGTTAACACAACCATGATGTATCTATCACAATGAATCCCCAATATATATGATAAAGCATAAAGCATCAGCTGTGAGTTTATATACCTCATTCCAGAAAATGTCACATCCAAAATGCCGTGTTGGAAAACTCCATTTTCTGCTATATTCAGAAGGAAGATAACACAAGAACCTAACTTAACTTAATTTCCACCGGGAAGGGGGATATTACAGAGGGCTGCCATTGCCACTAAAAAATCAGGTAAATGAAAAAATGGAGGAAGGAGTACTATGTCCACTGCATGTTGAATGAAAATTCAACGAATAGTACATCTAATTTATTACCCATCTTTTGTTGCTAATAAACTCTTCTATAAGTTTCCAATGAGTTTACTTTCAGATTTTGGAATAGGATTGTAGGTAAAGAACATTTGACCTAGGTCAGTGTGCATTAATCTCCAGGGCAACATGAAGTTCTACCATGCCATTAGTTTATCTTACATTTATCAACAATGTGACTGGAGAAAACATTAAATGTTTCAATTTAAGTGTCATAATTTCTATGGACACTTAGATAGATTTTCTCCATGATGATCTCTCCCAAACCTGGACATTCAGATGTTTTTATTTTTTTTAATGTTTTTTGCACTATTATGAGATTATTTATTTATTTATTCAATTTATATGCTGCCCCTCTCCGAAGACCCAGGTGCAAATAACAAGATGCAAATAACACAATAATTGTATAATTGTACTAATACATATGAATAATAATAATTACTAATACATTATATTTTGATTATGGTGGTATTTGTCCAGTATTAATTAAACGTTAAGACTATGATGATTTATGTAACTTAACTTTGAAAGATAAGGAAAAATGTATTCAAAAATATTGCTTGTTCTGAACCTACTTACATCTGTTCCAAATTAGTAATGAAGAAAAACTCAATTGGTTCATATCATTTCACTTACATCCAGATCATGATTGTGCTAAATTCCCCCTATTTCTCCCAAATATAACTATATATCACAGTGCTGAATTCAGCTTCAAATCCCTTGAAAATTTATCTCAGAATCTTTATATCACTATACATTAGAAATGGAAGTAATACAGAAGCTTAAAAACGTGCACAGGTTAGATTATTCCCCCTACAAATTTACAGGCATTCTCAAAGAAGATTAAAACTATTACAGAATAATATCATATATTGTGAAGGAAATAGGGAATGAATGAATGAATAACAGAATAACACAGTTGGATGGGACATTGGAGGTCCTCTAGTCCAACCCACTGCTCAAGCAGGAGACCCTATACCATTCCAGAAAATTGGCTGTCCAGTCCCTTCTTAAAAGCCTCCAGTGATGGAGCACCAACACTTCTGAAGGCAAGCTGTTCCACTGGTTAATTGTTCTCACTGGCAGGAAATTTCTCCTTAGTTCTAGGTTGCTTCTCTCCTTAATTAGGTTCCATACATTGTTTCTTGTTTTGTTTTCTGGTGCTTTGGAAAATAGATTGACCTGCTCTTCTTTGTGGTGGCCCCTCACATATTAGAACACTACTGTAATGTCACCCCAGTCCTTCTTTTCACCAGACTAGACAAACCCAATTCCTGCAACCACTCTTCATATGTTTTAGCCTCCAGCTCCCTAATCATATTTGTTGCTCTTTTCTACACTCTTTCCAGAGTCTCTACATCTTTTTTGTAATATGGTGACCAAAACTGGATGCAGAATGTGAGAGCTGTTATGGAGAAATTTTATGAGTTATTCAATCCTGAGAAAGAAAACATGAGAAAGAAGCTCAAAACAACCCTGCTTTGACTTTCATTAATATAAGATGAACCACAAAGAATCTTGGATGGGTTTTCAAGATTCTTCTCTTGGAATCCATGTCTTGCTGGTTTCTACTGTAGATCTTAATCCTAATCTTCAAAAGGCTGATCTGTTTTGTCAGTTCAGTTTGCTGCTTGTCTGGCTTTATTTTATAAAATAAAAGGAATGCAGGAACTAAAAACAAAGTAAAAGGGTGCAGGAAATAAAAATATACAAAAATTGAGCTGGTTAGCAATCCATAGCTATTTTGTTATATGCAATGAAATTTTATTTTAATATATGTCAATTAATGTAAATTCAAAGTGACAACAAAGTTATTTTAAGTTTAAATCTCAGTTTTTATGCCAGATTTCCTTTACCACATAAGGGTTTCTTTTTATAACAACCAGCAAAAGTATCCATGTGGTCCATCTGCTCAACCTCTTCTGTAAGTCATAAAGTGGAAATAATTTGGCAATTATTTTTTGTGTCCAGGCCCAATATATCTATAGTATCTTGGAATGTTTAAAACTAACTACTATAAAGAAATAGCAGTAGTGTAAGTATACAGTATGCTGTAAATCTCAATAACAGATTTAGATTTCATCATACTAGAAGCTTTGAACTTTGTCATCACGCCTGACCTTCATTTTGTCTGCTCTTAGCTTAAAAACAAGTTTCTTTGCAAATCAAGCTTCTTCCATAAATCTAAATGCAGTGATATGTTGCCCTATAGCATAAAGAAAGCATTAAGAAAATGAAATCCTTGAAAATTATGAGTAAATAAGTAACAGTTTTTTGAACTTGCTGATTATTTAAAGGAAACTCATAATACGTTTGAAAAATATAACTTTGCCACATTCTTTTTACAAAATTCTAAATCTCATATACTTAAGGAAAGTGTTAATTAAATGAGCTAACCCATGATTGTATTTTAAGTATTTTCAACACTTTAAATTATCTGTGATGCAAGTGTAAAAACAATAACTCACAATGTTTATTTAAGAATTCAGAGAATTAAAATAAGTATGCCTTCAAAGAAAAAAAAAGCACACAATAAGAGTAATAACTCTACAAAAATTAAATAAAGCTGTAACTTTTATTTTATATATATATAAAAAATAATATATATATATATCCAACCTTTGAGGTGCATGAGAGTTGAATACCAAAATCTTGAATATTAAAACTACTTAAAACTATTTTAAAATGTTACAATACAACTTTGAATATGCCTGTCCTTTCCTTGCCTATATCGTAAAGAATATCAGAGAGGGACAAGTTCAGACAGTCAGAATAGACTGGAAGTGACTGGAAGTCTTCTAGTCCAACCCCCTGTTCAAGCAGGAGACTCTATACCATTTCAGACAAGTGACTGTCCAGTATCTTCTTAAAAGTCTCCACACACCCACAACTTCAGAAGGCAACCTGTTCCACTGATTAATTGTCCTCACG